CTAAACCCTAAACCCCAAACCCTAAACCCTAAATGTTGAAAAGCTGATGAACCCTCGCAGGAACCCTGAAAGCCTCCCCATCCCCTCTTTGCTCCCCTCCTTCAGCATCTCCAACAGGGCCTTCGTTGCAGCCGCAAAGTTGCCGCCTATCCGACAGGGATCGGGTTAGGGTTTAGGGGGTTTAGGGTTTAGGGTTTAGGGTTTAGGGTTTAGGGATTTTGTTGGGGCCTGGATTTCTCGCCTCGTGGTGATAACTCGCTCCGAGGTTCAAATTGTTGGAGTGTCGGCCGTCGCTTTTGCCTGCTTGAAGGACGAGGGCACTTCAGACGATGTGTTCGATGCCCACAATCTTCAGAATCCATAACAGGGGAGTAATCCATGAGGAGTGGCTCTGTATCCCCATTTTATTCCCCCTCATTCTATTTCCGCCCTCCTCCAAGCATACCGTACGAACATGAAACCTTGCCTTGATGCATATGTGTACGGCTGACAAACAAAAATCCTCTAGCCTCATCCCCAAACCACACCACAAAGCCGTCAATACCCCCAAACCTCAAGCCCTAACCTCAAGAGTGCATCACCAGGCTTCTAGATTGCCTGAAGGACGAGCCCAAAGCCCTACAACGTAAACACAAAGCCCCGAGCCCTAAAACCGTAAGCCTCAGCCCCCAAACTCCAAAGCCCTAAAACCAATGCCCAAACACCCTGTGCACTGAACCCTAAACCCTACTAAAACCCTTAACAAAACAAAAATGAAAAGGTTGAGTTCTATGCCTTCAGCGCAGCAAAAATCCCTCAGGAATGATATTTAGAGTTATTCAACCTCCCCTTTTTCAAGTCAAAACAAAACGTCCAAAACCCGAAATCCTTAACCCTAAAACCGTGGCCCTGTTTTGCCTTCCATCATTCTGAGAACGGGCGTCAGGCGGTCCTGCAGACCAGCCCTACTTGGAGGTTCATGGGTAATTATAAGCCAGGTTTCGGGCTTTAGGGCTTTAGGGTCTTAGGGTGAAGGTTTGGGGTAGGTATAAGTAGGGAGATACGTCAGATAACCAAAGCTATAACCTATACTACGGGACTTACAACCCCGCCTCTTACCCCACAAAACCGGGGGCGGGGCGGGGGGGGGGGGCCTTCCTGAGAACCCTGGGATCTGGGGATCGAGGTTCACCACAAGGTCGAGAAGGGTCACTGTAGGGCGTTAGGGTTTAGGGCTTAGGGTTTTGGGTTTTGGGTTTTGGGTTTAGGGTTTAGGGTTTAGGGTTTTGGGATCAGCTCCAGGCCACGGAGAGTTCGCATGTGAAAGTGACAAAGAGATCTGAATACCTGGAAATCCTTCGAATTGTCCCTCTCTACGTAAAGGATAAAATGTCCCCGACAACCGGCTTCTATTTATTGCGGCCCCACGTGTTTCCAAAAGTGGCTTATGATTCGACATCCCCGGCATCCTAACGTCTACAAGTACCTAGCATAGCATACTTGTGATCCCAGCCCTCTGAACCTGGTTCCCGAAACCCCGAAACCCTAAACCCTAAACCCTAAAACCCTAAACCCTAAACCCCAAACCCTAAACCCTAGACCTAAAGCGGGTTTAGGGCTTAGGGTCTGTTTCAGCTTTGAGTTCCTTTAATGGGGTTCATTTAAGCGCGCTATGAGGAGTGCCATAAGGGGCTAAACAAATCAGGTGCTTCACAGTTTGAGGTGCAGGACGCCTGGCTCCTGGGTTTTGGAGGGATTTAGGCCCAAATTTGGGGTTTAGGGCTTGATTTCGGCCCAATCTTTTCGGGCCGAAACCCCTGGAACAAGACCCCTGCACGCAAAACCCGAAACTCTGAACCTCATGCTCGCCATCTAAGGTAGAGGTCTGGGCCCGAATCGCCAAGCAGCTGGCATTAGATCCAGCTTCGGAATATCGAGGCCCCAGGGGAGTATTAACTCCTCGTCGCAGCCATAAAGCATCCTCGGTCACCCACGTGGCATCGTCGACTGCGTTCACGTCGTGCAAGAGCACGGGACCTACTGCGCCAGGGAGCGCAACTGACAAGGCTGCAGGCAGACCGCCTCTTGAACCACCCCGCTACAGGTGGTCGTGACCTCGCCCGTCTTCGAACCATCAAGCACATGGGCAAGAAAGGAGGATGGGGCGCCAACCCCTATGGTGGTGCATATGGTGGATATGGACCACAGTATCAGGCCTCGAGCAAAGGCTGGAATCTGTGGCCAGGTGCCAAGAACCAATGGGACAAGGACCAGCGAGCGCGAGGCACACCCAGCTTCTTTGCCTACGATGCGGTATCGGACTGGCAGGAGCCCGCAATCACACAGGTGGTGGAACAGCGCTGGAGCAAGTCGGCAGAGCCCACTTTCACCAGCAAGGTGCAGAAGGCGGTCAATCTGGCGCGGAAACAGGACACTCGTGTGGAGCGGCTGCTTGCGGAAATTGTGGCCAGGGAGCGCAAGTGGAAGATCTACACCCAACAGCTCCAGCAAGCGTATGTCAAGCAGAACGCCCGACACCTTGCAGACGTCGAGAGGTTGGGCAAAGAGCTTGTGGAGGCTCAGGAGGCTCAGGCAGCAGCCCAGACTCACATTCGCGAGTGTATCAAGGAGTCAACGGAGGCCGAGGGAGTAAGTCAGCGAGATTTGCAGGCCATCAATGCGTGGAAGGCCATGACTGCCGAGGCAGCCAGGCCCATGGAAATCGAGACGCCCGACTTGCAGCAAGAGGAGGCCATGAGATATGCACGTCGAGTTGTGCAGCGAGCAGAGCAGGCCGCAGGGTTGCCCCATTTTGGGGCCCCGAGCACACCTACGGGAGAGGCGCCAGCCGCGGCCCCTGCCACGCCGCCACAGAAGGGTACACCAACTCCTCCCTTCACTCCACCGCCAGTAGGTTTGGAAGCCGTCTGCATCCTATGCACCAGTAATCTCGAAGTCATCTCGCCTGGCCGAGCCTTACCAGGCCTCACCCAGTCACCCAACTGGAACAGCAGGAGCCCTACCGCCTGGAGACAGTGGGGCTGGTGGCAACTCATCTCCTTCCCGGCCAGTCCATCCTCAGCAGACTGTCCCACCGGGTCTTGGAGGCGACGCTAATCACATCCCTCCACCTGCTCCTGTGCCGCCCAAGACACCTGCCGGCACAGTTGCAGCGAAGATCGAGCAGACCAAAGCGATGCGACCCTTTGGAGGTGCTATACATGCCAATCCAGGGCCGGCCGTCGTGGACCTCGAGGATTCGGAGCTCGACGAAGCAGACACAGAGAGGCCGGGCGGGGCCTCGCCGGGACTGGGCCGCTTGGAGTAGCACTCCAGAATCTTCGCCTGCAGTGCTTGTCCTGGCCAATACATGAGAAGTGCGGCCGCCCTGCAGGACCTGGAGCGCTTGGACTGTTCTTTGGTAACAGTACAGTCCAGCGATCTTTGTTTCCTGGCGGGCAAGGCCCCTTTTCCTCGTACTGGCAGAACAGCACCCAGCTGAGCAGGCATGCTGAGGGCGACATGTACAGTGCTGCCTGTACAGTCTTAGCTTTGACTTCGATCTTTTTATGGCCTCCCTTCCCGGTCTTCTGTCCTTGGTTATGGCCTTGCTACGGGACGGGATATGTCAGCCGACTTCGGGATTTGGTCGGTGGGGTGTCCATGCTCCCTGTTGTCCTCTTGGTTGCAGCACCCTCATTGGTCTCTTGAGGGAGGTTGCAGCCTTCATTCCTCTGATCTCCGTTCACTGAGCAGACTGGGCTCTGTTCTTCCTGTACATGCCTACGGCCCAGTTGGTTTTTCCACATGGTGGCTTTTCGCCCCATCACTGTGCCCATTTTGCAGCCGGGGAGAAAAACAGATGTATCGGTGGCTCAGGGACATCGTCCGGTTGCGATCTGCACCTTACCTCGTGGGCGTCTCCTCCTCCCTTTTCAGGGGCTGCCCGCCCGATGGAGCACTCTCTTTTCAGCTCTCCCTTTTAGGAGCAGTCATGTCGACCACGCTTGGGCTCTGCTTGGTTCGATGTGGCTGTGTCCTTCGTTTTCCTCATGGCCGCAATTTCCTCATTGGTCTCTTGAGGAATATTGTGGCCCTCCTACAGACATAGGTGGCCTTCTTGCCTTTTCTGCCACAGCTCATTCACCCTTCATCGCACCATGGACTCTTGCATCGCGGTCGCTGGCCGCCCCTTTTTCTGCCATGGACAGTTTCTTTCACAGCCGGGGCCAAACAGATGTATCGGTGGCTCTGGGACATCGTCCGGTTGTGTCCATCCATATCCAGGTGTGCTTTCTTGGCCATGGTGAGTGCTGCCAGTTTGACCTTCCCCTCCATCGGAAGTGCCCTGGCCTTTCTCGGTTGTATGCACCGGCTATACAGCCCTCCCGTGCAAGTTGCCAGACCGCATGTAACAGCAGCAACAGGGCTTTTTGGGTTTTAGTTCCCGCGCCCCTCCCTTTTGGGTTTAGTTTCCCGAACCCCTCACACAAGGTGGAGGACATTTGCATTCTTCCAGGCAGCCGGGGCCCAACAGATGTATCGGTGGCTCTGGGACATCGTCCGGCTGCGCAAGGTTCACACGTTAATAAAGCTTGCCAACCACGGTCTGACACGCGCTATAGTGTTCCACTTGCGGTCCAGCGGCGCGCACCGACACCGCGGGCGCGAGTGGCACATAACAAGCGCTACGACAACTTCTGCAGGCACATTGTAGGGGGCTTCCTGCACTTGCTCTTGTGCCTGACCCTCGTTTTGCTGCGCATGCTTGGGGTTCAGCTTGGCTTGCAGAGGCATCGGCTTGGGCGCCTACTCCTTGGCCCTACCCAAGGGCCCTCCTCCCGCATGCTGCTAGCCTTTGCTTGCCTCACGCCAAGCTCTACGCCACAGCAATCACGTTCGACTGGGGCTGCTAGAAAGCCGACCAGACACAGCCCTACGCGGTTACCGAGTAGGGGCTTCTTACCTGCCTGGAGCCGAGCTAAGCTTTTTTTGCCCTTGGTTGGACGCTGCCTACCCAGCTGTGGGCTGTGCCACAGCCGTGGGGTGAAGCCGTTGACATACTGATTGCTGCTGCCAGAGCATTCCCAGAACCCTTGCCAGCAGAGGATAATGGGAGGAGGTTTTCCAGCCACAGCCTTGCTGCACAGCTGGAGCCGGGTGCAGCCGGCTCCCCTCCTGCATCTGTGTCTGCTCCCCCGGATCTGGAAAGCCCTGCCAGATCCATGCTGGCGCCCGTTGTGATGGATGCACCAGGGCTGCCTGTGCCGGCCCCGGATCATGTCTCTGACGAGACAGAGGAGGAGGAACTGGTAGATGGCGCAGTACTTGTGATGGCACCACAGTTCCAGGCCGCCGAAATTTTGCACCTTGCTTTGAGCTTCCCCCTTGCAATGGATGCTTTCCTGAATCAGGCCAGGGAGGCTCTGACAGCATTGCGTCTTAGGTTCTCAACGGTTGTGGTACCTGTTTTCCCACAGCTTGGCCCCGACTATGCCACTGTACTGATACTGCCAAGTTGGTTGACGGCAGCAGGCATGCAGGTCGTTGTCTATGACTTTCGCCCTCTCTCAGGACCCGTGTACTCAGCATACTCCTGGGACCGCATTACCTATGGAGACTGTGTCCGAGAGGCCCGGAGACACAACGTGCTTGACTGGCAGGTTTTCGTCAATGGCCACACGCGTCCTCTTGAGCATGATGAGTCCTTTCTTGCGGTGCCAGGTGGTGTGCTCCAGTTCAGGCCGGCCGGCTCGCAAGCTGTCTGGTTCAGCCCGCTTCAGGCTCGCTTTGACCGCCCCAACATGTGGGGATCTGACCCGGAGCTGCCGGTTCCGGGCAACGAGCTCCCCATTATAGTGCTCTACCATGAACAGTCAGTGCTGTATTCAGCTAGGCGCTTTCCAGGTGTGCCTACCGTTGCTTGCATTACCGGCCTGGTTGAGCGAACGCCAGACACTGCACTGCTTGTGGCACCCAGGGGCAATGCACTAGCTGATGTTGACCATTTTGGAGTTCGATGTAGGGATGCACTAGCTGTGTACCCCCTGGCCCCCCTTTCGGATAGGGAGAGCATTATCGTGTTCCTGGATGCACGACAGACCAGCCAGTTCATCTTGCACATTTTGCTGCCTTCGCATGATGTCGAGCCTATTGTGTTGATCAGGTACCTAGGTCTCAGTGCCCCTCCGGGTTGCCGTGTTGTACATTGGCCGCGGGCCGACGCACAAGGCATGCTCAGACTGTCAGAGGGCGATACTGTCACCTTCGGTTTCGCACAGATCGTCCCCTGGGATCACGATGACGAAGGGGATAGCGATCAAGGTGATGATCACCCTTCTGATGACGGAGAAGAGAGCTCATCTTCCCCGGATCAGGACGAGTCCGAAGGCCCGACTGAAGGTCCCGACATTGCAAGACCAGCACCCGTGCAGTCACAGCAGCGCAATTCTTCCAGGTCCAGGTCGCCCAGGAACCACACTTGCCAGCCAGCTGCCCTCGTCCTCATGACATGCCAGACAATCTTACAGCCCCTCCTGATACAGGTCTTCTCGGCCCCTTTACAGGCAGGCTACACTGAGGGTCTACCCTTTATCATGCTGTCGGGAGAGATGCTCGTTGTTGTCGGGGCGCCCTGCTGCTGTAAACTGCTAGAAGAGCCCACACCATACACACCAGCCGAACTTAGTCGCCTGGACGGGCTGCGAAATTTTGCTGGCGAGAATGGTGAGCCATGTACCTGCCCGCTTGGGCCTTGGAGGACAGGCTTGCCTTGCATCAGCCAGTCCCAGCCCCACTTGATCCGCCCACACATGGTCCGCTTCGGGTCAGCGTCTTGATCTTTGTACCAGACTACAAAACCGAGCAGGTCGTTGTGACAGTCATGCTGCCCATTTCGTCAGACGCCTTTTTGCGAATTGTGCAGCAGCTCGTGACCCGCAGCACGCACATCGGTTCCCGGTCTTGGTGCCTGCTGTGCCTCAGCCCTCCCGTGAGTGGGCCGCTCTTGTTGCACTGCCGGCCTGGAATCATTTTGCACACATCGGCCTTCTTGATGCCCGTGACATAGACGGTCGACTTTTTGCAGTCCAGCTCCCTATTGTTGCAGATACGACCTCCGTCCTTCGGCTTGCGGGACTTGGGACCTCAGCACTGGCCATTGTCCAGACCAGCACCAGGTCCGAGGTTGCGCCAGATGGGACCATCCAATGCCGTGCCGGGCAGTGCCTGTACATCACCAGGCCACAGTCGATGCTGCCTGCACCAGTCACCCTTGCCGATATGCTGAGGTCACCGCGCTGGTGGACAGAGGCTGCACCTTTCAGGGAGCCGGACCCCGATATGTGCTACTGTTGCGTACATGACTTGGGATACCAGCTGTATGCCAGTGGCCCTAGTCGGCCTTGGAACCACAGAGCAGACATAGCGGCTGCTGTGGAGGTGCCCCTGAACAGCCTTGTCATTACCCCTGCTGTCCCCAGGGTATCGGATTGCACGGTCATCGGCTTGACATGCCGTACTGTACTTGCTGCTGGACATGGAGCGCCAGGGGCCATCTTTGTCATTGTCGATTGTCGACCATTGTTACAGGGATGGTATCGACATTACTCCGGCCCTCAACTCGATCTGGCAGCCCTCCTGGCGGATTTAGGTGAGTTCACGCCTCTTGGATGGACGGTGGCTCTGTTTTGCTCTGATGGCAGTCCAGCTGGACCGTTGGTTGTGTCGGGCCAGGTCCTTACTGCGGCGTACGTCCCCGCTGAGGATGCTGGCTTTGAGATGGGTTCGGTTCCCCAGGATCCTCCTTCGGAACCAGACCAGGGCCATGGCCCACTGCCTCTGCAGCCCTCCTCCCCGGATCCTGGTCCTGCAGGGACAGACCCGAGCAACCAAGCCGCCACCCACCGAGCTGGCGGAACCTTCCTTCCTGCATCCTGTGCCCTCCAGCTATCTCGCTTGACATCAGACCTTGCTGGCGGCACTGTTCAGGACGGAGCCTGCACAGTAGTCGGCCAAGCAGTTAAGTGGAGCTCTGGTTCTCGACAACAAGCCAGTCTGCCTGGCCACCGGAGCCTCACCCCTGTCTGTCTTGGCCTCAGCCTTGGCGTACTGTGCCTTTTCCTGCAATCCACAGGCGTCAGTGGTTCCTGGGATTTTCTGTACGGTCTCGTGATTTGTTTGTCAGCGGGACAGCCTGGCCTGCATGCAGGCACCAAGCGAGTCTTGTTGTGCTGCCTGGTGCCCTTTTGCCTGTGCGTTGCGACGCAAATCCCTCCTGCAGCCGACCCATGCGCGCCACCAACCGTCCAGGGGATTCCTGCACCTGGCATGCGGCCCATCCCCACACCTGTCCGTAGCAGGTTCGGCGCTGAGTTAGGGTTTGGGTTTTCAGGTCATACCGGCCCTTTGCAGGATCGCTCAACCGGGGATTTGCTCAGCCTCTTTCTGGATCCTTTGGGACCCACACTGCTGGAGATCAGTGTCCAGGACCCAGCTTGTCGAGCCTTCTATGATGCTTCTATTCTCCTGGAAGTCTTGACAGATCATTTCGCCACCACCGCGCACGAGAATCAACAAGGGCCTGTTGCCACGAAGAGCCCTCCAGCATTGCGACCGACGCTTCTCTTGGCTGATAGGCTTGAGCTTTCTCAGCACCAGCGACACAGCCTCGAGCTTGCCGAGCTCCTGCCACATTCACGCCCAGACCCACAGGATGCTGCCAATGACTGGCTGGACAATGACCTCGAACCCGTGTTGCATGATGTCAAAGTGCCGTTGACCTTGCGCACCGCCTTTCTCAACATCCGCCTATGGCACCAGGCTCAGTGCCCACAGCCCAGTCTGCTTGAAGTCTTCACGGACGGGTCGGCTAGCAGTGACGCAGCTGATATTGCGCCATGTGCTTGGGCACTTTCTGTGTGGGCACACTGTAAGGATGGGCCCATGCTCATAGGACAGGCGGCCTCGCAGGCGATGCCACCAGAGACCCCCTTCCATGTCGGAGAACAGGATGACTCTGCACAGACTGCCGAGTATCTCGGTATCATCTGGGGCCTGGCTTGGGTTGCTGAGTTCGGTTTTCAGTATAGGGTGCCGCACTGGAGTTGGATGTGCCATCTTTGGGGCGGCCAGAGCGCCCACGGACGGTCACTCCCCCACCGCCCGGCTTGCTGCATTGGCACTGGCACTCAGACACTATGCCCAGAGCCGCGCGAATCTACAACACTCCCACGTGCAGGGACACAGCGGGCACATTGCTAACGAGCTCGTAGACCAGCTTGCCAAACAGGCTCGGCGACTTGCAGTTGACACGTGGCACCAGTGCTTACCGACCTGGCTGGCCCCAGTCAGTCGACATCCCATGCTGCCCTGGGCTTGGACAACACTTCCGTGCCAGCCCGATGTCCCCATGCTCTTTTCATTTGAAAGTGAGGCACACCGCCTGCAAGCTACACCAAAGCCGGTGTGGCAGCCGCCTCTACAAAGCCAGCACCATGTCGTACGAGAGGAGGCACATCTCCTCTTCAATTTCAGCTGCATCACTTTCAATGCTTTGACACTTAAAGACAAGCCGGGGCCTACGCCGCGCACCCAGGAGGTTGGCCTTGGTATCACTGGCCGCAAGCTTGCTCTCAAACGGGCACTTGCACAACATAGCCCCCTCCTCGTTGGCATTCAGGAGACACGTTTGCAGGGTGATAACAGACAGCCGAATGCTGACTACATTATCCTGCAGTCCTCTGCCACTCCTGCCGGCACTGGCGGCTGCGCCTTGTGGATCGCCAAGCACGTCCCATACGCCAGCAGTAACCGGGAGCGCTTATACATCACTGAGGCAGATGTCACTGTTGTTGCGCTCGGCCCACGCCATTTCGTCGCTACCATTATGACCAGGTCGCTCAGCCTTGCTGTTATGGTTATGCACGTGCCCTCGCTGGCCAAGGCTCCATATAGCGAGGTCAAAGACTTCTGGCAGCAGCGAGCCAGCGACCTGGACCAAAGACCACAGGGTGCTGAGTACATCGTCCTTGCCGACACTAACTCCCGGGTGGGCGGGGTGGTGTCAGATCACATTGGCCCTTTGGACGAGGAGCCAGAAAACCCAGCCGGGTTTCTTATGCATGAATTTCTGGTTAGGACCGGTGCTTGTGTGCCCTCGACGTTCCCCAGGTGCACAGCGGCTTTTCTGGCACGTGGAAGCAGCCAGGGGGCGACTGGCACAGACTTGACTTTGTTATGGTGCCTTGCCCATGGCTTGCATTTGGACTCAGTTCTTGTGTGCTGGAGGACATCGAGGTCCTGCAAGCCCGTACCGACCACATTCCGGTCCTCCTCACCTGCAGCTTCGCACGCAATGCTCCTGCCGCCAACTTCTATGTCAGCAGGAAGCGCACAATCAGGCCGGACACTGCCCTGTACCATACCCCAGAGGCTGCAGGTGTCATCCAACAGGTGCCAACATTTGCATGGCAGGTAGATGTTGACCCACACTATGAAGGTCTTTCAACCTGCCTCCTCCAGGCTGCTGAGAGTCTGGACACAGTTCAACAGACTGCCCCTGTCCAGCAGTACCTTCGACCTGCTACCCTCGAGCTTGTGGATCTCCGAGGAGCATTGAGAAAGTACATCAAAGCCGAGAATGCAGAAAGGGAGCGACGACTCTGCATGATTGGCTTTGTTGCTTTCCGTCTGCACAGGCAGGGCAGCGGTTTCTCTGCACAGGCCACCAACACTGCTGGTAGGTGGCTGTCTGACATTGACCACAGCATCGCCAGAGCTGTGGCCCTGCTACAGTGGTATGGCAGGCAGCTACGAAGAGCTGTGGCGGCTGATAGGCGAGCATACCTCCAGAGTCTGACTGCAGCCGCTGCCTATCACGACCTTGCGGACCCCAAGTCCCTCTACCAGGCAATTCGAAAGGCGTTTCCACAGGCACAGTCCTCCCGCAGAAGTCGTTTCACTCCACTACCGACTCTCGTCAAAGCTGATGGGCAATTTGCGATCACAGCTGAGGAGAGAGCCGAGTGCTGGAGGACGCAATTGCTGCCCAAGAGGCCGGCGAAATGGTCACTCACCAGGAGTACACCCGCAAGCTGGAGATCATGCATGCCAGATGCAGACCCCCAGCTTTCGACCTCTCAGCCATTCCCACACTGACACAGGCTGAGCAGACGATCTTGAGACTCCGCAATGGCAAGGCCGCCGGGCCGGATGGCCTCACCGCTGAGGTCTATCGCCTGCACCCTCCGACTACGGCCCGCCGACTAGCACCGCTCCTGTTGAAAGTGTCGCTACGCATTCAGGAGCCCGTAGGCTGGCGAGGAGGGGACCTTATGGTCCTGGCCAAGCGTGCAGCGAAAGTGCTCCAGTGCGAACATTTTCGTTCCATCTTGTGTCTAACCTTGCAGGTAAAATATACCACAAGTGCATCCGCACTCGCCTGGCCGTGTCTCTTGTGCCCACCTTGCCCCCACTTCAAGGCGGAGTGCAGAAGGGTGTTGGAATCGAGTTCCCGGCATTAGCGGTCAGGTCGTTTGTGTGTCAGATGCATGGGCTCCGGAAGCCTTGGGCCGTGGTCTTTTATGACCTGGCCGCCGCCTTTTACTCTGTCATCCGCCAGAGCCTGGTGGACGACCCTGACTCTGATGGAGGATTTCTTTCCGTGCTCCATTCCTTGCAGCTGCCGCCAGAGTCCCTGCAGGAGCTGACTGGACACCTGCGCAAGGCTGCGGAGCTCCCCAGACAAGGAGTGTCCGCCCACCTGCAGAACATGGTGAGCGACCTGCTCTCGGGGACGTGGTTCCGCTTGTCGGGCCACACTACACTCACCTTGACGCACAAAAGGTCTCGCCCGGGAGACCCGACTGCGGACATTCTGTTTGCGTTCACTTTGTCCGCTTATCTCAAAAGGGTGAACCACTTGCTTCAATCGTCCAGCCTGGCTCAGGGCCATATTCGTCCGACACAGGTCCCCGACTGGGCCCAGGCCCTCCCGCCGCCGACCGTGTAGATCCTCTACCTACCCCAGCTGACCCTGCACCAACGCCTCTGCCCTTTGTTTGCCCAGTGTGCCTTAAGACATTTGCTCTTCGCAAGCATCTAGGTGTGCATGCAGCCCGTGCACACGGACAGTTGAGCCCCAGCCGGCACTATGCCATCACTGAGCACTGTCTTGCTTGCTTGAAGTTCTTCGGGGTGCTGGCTCAAGTCCAACAACATCTTAAGCAGTCATCCTCTTGCTTGGAAAGATGTAGTTGGTTGTATCCGCCCCTAAGTAAAGCAGAGATTGCCAGACTGGAAGCACCAGCCCGCCTGAAACAGAAGTCCCTCAAGGCAGGTGAGTGGAGCTCTTTCCAAGGATCGGCTCCACCGATGCGAGTGCCTTTCTTTTACGGCCCGCCCCTACCGACTGCGGCGGAACGACAGCTGGGCCTTCACCCGTCCGAAGACGACCCCCTTTCCTCCCTGAAACGACATTATGTCCCCTCAGAGGACGTTGTCAGTTGGATCGGTGATCACATTGCAGCCAAATCCAGCGAAGGGCCTAGGCACACTGCTGTGCGCTTTTGGCATATGCGACCGCGTGAAAGGGAGGCCTGTCTCACTTCGTCTCACCCTCAGAATTCAGCATGATTTTTGAGATGCGCCTAATTGCGGGCACTGGAGTCTGCACCGAACCGAACCGAATGTTGCTCCTTATGGTTCCTTGGTATGTTTATGGCATAATAGAACATACCCGAATCTGCTGTTCTACTGATTCAAGCCCCTATGTTACTGGCTCCCATCTCCTCATCTGCCGGAGCTTGCTCGGCCACTGGCTGATCACCAGCCTGACTATGCATGGGGCCTTAATTCGTGGGTTCCTTTCATGCAGGGCTTACTATCCGGGCCTGAATGCCTAGAGTACTCATCTCCACAGAATAACACCCCATAGTAACGGGCACCACTCTTCCTCAGGAGCCCCTTCTACACTCACCAGAAACCTCCAATGTAACCCTACCTCAGCTGGATGGTTGGTTGCTGCGGACTTCACGGGGGGTTGTGCACCAAGCTCGTAGCAGGGTTCCAATAGGTCTCTGTCCGTCTCGAAAAATAAGCTTTCGGTTTAGGGTTGAGGGTTTAGGGCTTAGGGTTTAGGGTTTAGGGTTTGGTTTAGGGTTTAGGTTTTAGGGCTTCAGGTTTAGGGTTTCAGGTTTAGGGTTTCGAGATCGGGGCTTAGGGTTCGGGGCTTAGGGTTTGGGGTTTAGGGCGTGGGGTGTAGTGGCGCATGGCGAATCGTCGCACAGTAGCTTTCCCAGCCCTTCTGTATTTTGCGGGCGCTGCACATGGGTAAGCAACTTTACACAGTTTTACAAGTGTCCTGCAGGTTCAAACACTTGGGCAATGGCAAGAAGTGTATGTCAGTTGCGGATCATTTCATTGCTTTCGCCATGCCAGATTGGGAGACCGCGAATTGAGTATTTTGTGTCACTTGCTTTGGCCGGTTGTTTTGGCTACAGGTACCAATAGGAACCTTTAACCGGAACCGTTGTAGGGAACCGAAATTCATCGCTCTCCCGGCAAACCCTACGGGAGGTCCATGCGAAGTTACAAGTGGGGTTAGAAGCTTAGAAGTCTAGGTTATAACTAAGTTGCCCTACTGACATGCCTACTTATTCTAGGTGCTAACCACAGTCACCCCAACTTATATCCCTGCTTACAACTACCTGAACCCTAAACCCTAAACCTCAAACCCCCAAACCCGAAAGTAACCCTCAGAGGGCCTTCTCCTCCTGCTTGGTCTCCCCAGCGTCCTTTGCCTCCTCTTCTCCTTCATCCTTGGACCTCGGAGTCAGTCCTAAACCCTAAACGGGCTTAGGGTTTAGGGTGTAGGGTTCAAGGTTTAGGGTTTATAGAAATTGTTAAGGGTTTGGGTGCCAATAAGTTTTGGGCGAAACGTTTTGGGCGAAACGTTTTGGGCGAAACGTTTTGGGCGAAACGTTTTTTTTTTGGAACCACATTTTGCATCTGGGGCTGGGTGCTGGGCAGGGTGGAGGGGCTG